GTTAAATATATATATATATATAGGCCCATGTACATCATATGGTGATGTCAATTTTAATTTCCTTTAATATGCCAAACAAACAGAGCCTAATAAAGCTGTTAATTTTCACAAGTTATCTTCAACAGTTGACTCTTATCTTTTTTTTCCCCAATCAAATGTGCCAATAATTATTTTGGTTACACTTACCGTCACTAACTTAATAACTGTTAATTACACCCACATCCAAACTCATATCTCTCTCTCACTCTCTCTCACAAATAAGGTTACTGTTGTGCTAAAACTACAATAATAACTATTATGCCTTGATTTGAGATGTATTATAGATTTATTTTTATGATCTGAACCGTTCATTTTGTAGGGTTTGTTAAATACTTCATGCCTACCAAAAATCATATTAATCGGATATCAATTATTATATGATCGAATTGCATATTTTTTATACTATTTTCAAAAGAAAAACTTTTTTTTTTGTTATCTTTTATATAATTATTGATATCCGATTAATATAATTTTTGATAGGCATAAAGTACTCAAAAAATCTTATAAAATGAACGATTCAGATCATAAAAAGAAGGTCATAATGTATCTCAAATTAAAACACAACAATCACTACTGTGTTTTTAACATAGCAGTAACCTCAATTCTCTCTCTCATATACAAACAACACACATATTTTATTACTTTATATATGTTGGCTACATATTTTGTAAAAGAATTTTAGCCTGTTCGGATAGTTTGAACTTTGGTTTGCCAATCCTTCGACAGCAAAGTGCAATCGCGATTGACAAATGTAATTATTGCAGTAAATAAGTGTTGCACAGGCAAATTACGAATATATTTTCTGATATATATATATATATATTATATGAGCAATTTTAGCCTGTTCGGATAGTTTGAACTTTGGTTTGCCAATCCTTCGACAGCAAAGTGCAATCGCGATTGACAAATGTAATTATTGCAGTAAATAAGTGTTGCACAGGCAAATTACGAATATATTTTCTGTGCTGCACTCTCTGAGAAGGTGGTTCAGAGTTTCATCAGTTACACCACAACGAGGGCATATCGCAGATGTGGTCATGTTCCTTACAAGCCTCATGTGGTTAGTAAGCAATCTCCCCTTAAGAATGAGCCAGATAAAACATTTTAATTTCTGAGGGACCTTGATTTTCCAGAGCCATTTCCAATCACCGTTCTCCTCATCCTGCCCTGCAATGATCTTATACGCAGAGGAGGTAGTGAAATTGCCACTATTGGAGCCAACCCAAACTGGTGCATCTGTGTAAGTGACGAATCTGGGCCTGTGAAGTGTGAGTATTTCTTGGACATCTTGAGGAGTTAACAGATTATTCAAGGCAGCAGTGTCCCAGTTGCCTTCATCGTCGAGGACAGAGCTAACTTTTTGGAGACCATTACCTTGTTGGGAAATGTAATTGGTAGCTAAAGGTTGATTACCGCACCACCAGTCACACCACAATGATATATGCTCACCATTACCCATATTCCATTTGACTCCCTTTTTCAAATAATCTCTATTCTTACATATGCTTTTCCAAACATGAGAAGATCTCTTTTGGAGAGGCCAATTAAATAAGGTATTCTTCTGCAAGTACTTAGAGTGAAGCACTTTACACCAAAGTTTGTTCGTATCCCGCAGCATGTTCCACCCAAGTTTAGTTAATAATGCAGCATTATGATCTCTAGCTTTTCTAATTCCCAGCCCCCCGTCCGCCTTGCTTCTGCAGACACTGTCCCAACTAACAAGATGGACTTTCTTATGGTGCTCAGTCTCCCCCCATAAAAAGTTCCTATTAAGTCTATCTATATCGTCACAAAGCCTCCTTGGGAGTTCCATGGTCTGCATGTTATAGCTAGGAATAGCCGAAGTCACAGACTGGATAAGGGTGGTTCGCCCAGCAAGGGAGAGATTTCTAGCCTTCCAACCTGACAACCTAAGTTTTAACTTCTCTATGGTATCTCTAAATAAGGTTCGGTTGACTCTCCCATGGAGCATTGGGGAACCTAGGTATTTCCCAAGGTTTTGGGTTAAAGGAATTCCACATTGGGAGCTTAGAGATGATGCTATGTTACGAGACAGATTGGGTGAAACAAACAGCTTAGACTTAAGATAATTGACTTTGTGTCCGGATATATCACAAAATTCAGAGATAACCCCCATGATAACTTCACAGTTAGGTTGGTCCGCTGTGGCGAATAAGATAAGATCATCAGCGAAGAAAAGATGTGAGATGGGAGGGCTGTTGCGACCTGCTTTAATACCTTGCCACTGACCACTCTTCACCTTAGAATTGATCATATTAGACAACCTTTCCATGCAAAGCACAAAAAGATAAGGAGAGAGAGGGTCCCCTTGACGCAGCCCTCTCTCATTCTTGATCCCTTGAAGGATCTCCCCATTCCATAGGACAGCAGATTTGGTGTTAGTGACACAACTCATGATAAGGTGTATCCAATTTTCATTCATGTTAAACTCAATGAGTGTATCCCGAATGAACTCCCAGGACAAGCGGTCATAAGCCTTCTCCAAATCTATTTTGAAAATCATGCCTCCCCTCCTACCTTTTTTATGTCTAAGAGTATGAAGAATCTCCTGAGTAATGATGATGTTATCAGTTGTATTTCTCCCAGGAATAAAACTACATTGATTGTGGCTCACCAAATTATCCAGAAGTGGTCTAAGCCTTCCCACAATGATTTTGGAAATGATTTTATAAGTGACATTACAGAGACTGATGGGCCTAAATTGCTTAATATTCTCAGGATTGTCAATCTTAGGAATAAGGACTATGATAGTCTCATTAATCTGGTCGGGGACAGATTTGTTATGAAAGCAAAGGTTTATGAAATCACAAACAGACTTGCCAACAAGGTTCCAATATTTATGATAGAATATGGCCGGGATACCATCCTTCCCTGGGGCTTTAAAGGCTCCAATATCTTTCACAGCTTGGAAAATTTCAAGGTTAGAAAGTGGTTTCAGGAAGCCATCATTATCCTCCTTAGTGAATTGAACAGGAGTGGTATTCTCCCAATGATCGAGGTGTTGGTAATCCCCTTTGCTAAATAGATTCTTAAAATAATCAAGAATGACATTCTTCACCCCCTCAGTGTCACTAATCCAAATGCCGTTATCATTTTTTAGGGCATTGATTTTAAGTTTCCTCTGCTTGTTAATTGTAGAAATGTGGAAGTACCGTGTGTTTTTATCGCCAAGGGTAATGTGTTTGGCTCTAGACTTCTGAAACCAGAGCATTTCTTCCTGAAGCAGGGTCTCATTATACTCCTTAATGAGATCATTCTCAAGGTGGTGGAGGTTGTGGGTAAATTGCACCGCAAGAACTTTTTGGATACCCTCTATCCTCGCAAGGAGCCTCCTTTTCCGTTTAAAAATATTCCCGAATATCTCTTTATTCCAGACATTGACTCGATGGGTAAATTCAGCAGTGGCGTCAAGAAGTTTATTATTCATAAAATGCCAAGATGATTTCACAACTTCAATAAGCCCGGGATGAGACATCCAAGCGGCCTCAAATCTAAAAGGCCTATTGCGAGGGTTGAAAGAGTGCATACCTTGGGTGTAAACCACGAGAGGAGAATGATCTGAATAGGTTCTAGGGAGAACTCTAACTGTAGCTTCTGGGAACATGGTCCTCCATTCTGCATTGCACATCGCCCTGTCCAGTCGTTCCATGGTGTTAGCCAGCCCTGTCCTGTTGTTTGTCCAAGTCATTCGAGGCCCAGTGCTACCCAAGTCCATCAAGTTGCAGCTGTTAATTCGGTCAATGAATTTCTGAGTCCTTCTAGAATTATGATTAGCCGAGAAGCTCCGTCTTTCCCCTTGGTTGGCATAATCATTGAAATCTCCAGCAACCAGCCAAGGCTTCTTCATATTAGTAGCTACCGCAGTCAGATCATGCCACATCTGGCCTCGAAGGGTGGGGTTGGGGCTAGCGTAGACAGCAGCCAACACCCACTCCTCATAATCTTCCTTATGGACAGTAGCATGTATGGCTTGCGAATTAACTGTAGATGCTCTAACGTTTACTTGAGTGGTGTCCCACACAATCCATATCCCTCCCATTCTGCCCACAGGATCAACTGTTGATGAAGCCGTGAAGCCAAGACTGTTGAAGAAATTACTCATTGTACTAAAAGCCACTTTAGTCTCCATGAGAATCAGGATCTCAGGTTTGTGCGACTTAATGAGCTCCACCAGGTTACGTTTAAATTTATTATTGCCGGCACCGCGGCAATTCCAAAACAAGATTCGTAATAAATCCATAGAGGGGAATGTAGGAGGAAGACTACCTTCAAGGTCTACAATACTGCGTATCCGCCGATGATCGTCCTCCACTGATTTGAGGGAGGCCATTTGGATTGAATGGAATGGCTGGGTTGGGTTGTCCTCCCAACTGGGTGCTATGTTCAAACGAATTTGTTCTATCCACCAGTCGAAAGTGACTAGGTGAAGAGCTTCGCTCTCTGGTTCTAACAACAGTCCCACCGAACTGGTCTGCCTCAGGTGTTCCTCCACCCTCGGCCTCAGATTTCCTGAATTCAAATCTCCTTCCCTCTCCATTGTGGGGATCTCCGGGATCTGGGGGTTCTTTTTCTGTATTTAGCTGTTCCTCTGGAATAGTGCTTATATTTGAAGATGGAATGGAGTTACTAGGATGGGTTTGAAATGTCTGTGTTGTAACCATGGTTAAGTCCTCTTGCCGTGCGTTGGTTTCCAAGACACAGATCATGTCAGTCACACCAAGCTGTGTCTGTTCCGTAGTGGTGAAGTTGTCTATTTCAATAGGCTCATGTTCTGGTGAGTCTGGAAAAGGTTCCTTTTCTGGCGTGGAAGAGCTGGCACCAGTTGGTGTGATCAGAGGTAGGTGGGCATTTATATTTGGCTCCGTGGTTAAATATTGAGGCTGATCGATTTTGCCTTTACCTTTGGGGTCATGGCTTGGTTGGGGGCTCAATGAGATGGATTAGTTATTAGGAGCCTTCTCAGCACCTGCTCTGTTATGTTTCCTTCCCCTTGGGTGATCTTCCTGCCCCTTCTGGCCTTCATCTAAGGGTGAAAATTTATTGGGCTTTGTAGTGGGGCCCGAAGGGACTTGAATTTTCCTGGGTTGAATCGGTCTACGCCCACGTTTTGTTACCAACATCCAAGGCCCAAATTCATCCTCCCTGACTTCCTGAGGTTGCAGGTTACCGTTAGCATCCGTGGTGGATGTGCCGTGACTATCGTCACTGGTAACGGCTAGTTTCTCCCCCGTCGGTTGTGCAATGTGAGTTTTGAATCTGCAAGCTTCCCTCCTGTGGTCAATTCGTCCACACAGAAAACAAAAGGAATGTAGTGATTCATATTCAATACTATAGCATTTGTCCTCAAGCACAAACTTGGGGATCAAGGGCTTTGTGAGGTCCATTTCCACACAGATTCTTGCAAACTTTCCCCTGGTAACCATTGCTGTTGTCCAGTCAATCTTCAGAGGTTTACCAATGGTTTTAGCTATTGCGAAGAGGACCTTATCATGATAATATTCGATCGGAAGCTCCGGAAACCGAACCCAAATCGCAGTTGTGGTTTCAAGAGCTTCCGAAGGCTTAAAATTAGGTTCCCATAATCTCACTGTAAGATAGTGATCCATGATCACCCAAGGTCCTCCAGTATGAACTTTAGTAAAATCTTCAGGGTTGGAGAATTTAAAGAGAAAATAGTTACACCCTAGATCAATTGCACTAAACTCTTCTTGGAGTCCCCAGAGGTTTTTGACTCGAGTGCAGAGCATTTTATAGCCTATACTTTTGCCCAGAAGACGAATGATTAGTGAGCTTGCCCATGGTTTCCGGATTTTTTGTAGCAGCTTGTTAGGGAGAGAAACCTTGGGTATACCTATGTGATCCGAAGTAGAGTGTTCGATTGAGGTGCGTCCCTCTTGCTCATCGTCTTCTTCATCTGAAGATAAAACCTCCACTCGACTATCAAACGTGTAGTCATAGTTGCGGGCCGTAGACAGGGCTTCCTTAAAAGATTTAGCAGGAGGGGAGGCCTGTGACGGAAGGCTTTGCGATCTAGGGTCTTCCTCTCCTATAATGGTGGCCATGATCACTTCAGTGTCCATTTCACTGGGTGCCGATGTGTCTGAACTTTTAATCTTCTTAGTGCTGCGAATCAAGTGATCCTCCTCTTCAGTGGATTTCGCGGTGTTGGGCGAAGCTTGATGCTCGACAATGTTACTCATGATCCTCTAGTTGTTAATGCTCATTATCGACAACCTTTATCATCACCTATCACTCTTACCAACAACTACTATCATCACCTGGTGGGAGGATGGCTGTGGTAGACCTCTACTTGAATGGATTTCTTTTAATTTAAAAAACAACAGTGAGTTTATTTTTGGAACAAAATGGCAAACTGTGTTTATTTCTACCCTTTGGCAAATCTGGACAGACCGTAATAAAACGGTGTTTGAGAATCTAACTCCCTCCATTCAAGTCAGCCTCAAGTGCATAAGAAATTATGCCCATGAGATTGAGGAAGCTTACCAGTCCAGCCTCCACCCCAGGCCCTATTAGCCGCGACTAATACATTGGCTTCACCCCCTGCAGGTAAGCTTAAACTGAACGTTGATGGCTACTCCAAAGGTGATCCGGGACAAGCTGGCTATGGTGGACTGTTGCGGGACGAAACTGGCATATGGCTCTGGGGCTTCTATGGAAAGTTGGGCCACTGTTCAAGTCTTGAGGCTGAGTTGTGGGCTATATATCGTGGCCTCACCATTTTATTTCAAAAAGGCACTAAAGGAGTAGAAATCGAATCCGACTCTGAACTTGCTATTGACCAAATACAGAACGGTCCCAATACCAACTCTCCATACAAAGCTCTGATTGAAGATGCAAGATTTCTGTTGAAAAGATGCGATTGCCTTCTGCAACATACACTACGGGAGGGCAACAGATGTGCTGATAAGCTTGCAAGCCTAGGTGTGGAGCAAGGTGAACATGTGGTGTTGCTGGAGGATCCTCCTGAAGAGGTGAAGAATCTGGTCATAGCAGATATGACCGGAGTTAGTGTCCTAAGAGACTAGTTCGTAGCTTATCTGTTGTATCTGTTCTTGTTTCTGCTGTTTTTGTCTTTCTGAACTTCCCTTGAATAAAAAAAAAAGAATATATTTTCTGTGATATGTTTAAAGTACTAATAGTTTTCTGTGATTTAAAAAATTACAACATTTTTCTATTAAAAAAATTTATTTAATAAAATTAATTAAAAAAATAAAATTTATAATTATTTTTTTATATAATAATAAAATTACTTAAATTATTAATTAAAATATATTTATAACATTATTAAAAAAAATTACTTAAATTATTAATTAATTTAATAATTTATTAATAAAAAAACAATTTAATATAAAATTAGAAACCTTGAAATATAATTTTTAAGATTATAAGAATGATTTATATTTGTAATTTACCATTTTTGATATTAATATATACCCACCCAAAGCCTTGTGGGACTCACTCGGTCACTGCCTCAGAGTTTGTTTTCATAAGATGCTTACAGCTCAACCAAGATCCACTGGCAACTCAGACCTCTCCGCTGCCGCCGGGCTCACGGCGGCGATTAGCGGCGCCGGGACCAATGGAAGGTTGAGCAGAGCAACCCAGGTTCCGGTTTTCCAAACCCGGGTCGGAAAAAATCGTGGGTCGGTAAGAGCAGTGATCAGTGGTGGAGACAACAAAACTGTGGTGGAGACCTCCAAGGACTACAATGGGTCGGTGTTGTCTTCTTCAAGTCGTGGTGGGGTTAGAGATGTTAAGGCAGTGATTACTATCAGGAAGAAGATGAAAGAGAAGATCAGTGACAAGATTGAAGATCAGTGGGAGGGTTTTATTAATGGGATTGGTCAGGGCATCTTGATTCAGCTCATCAGTGAAGAGATTGATCCTGGTTAGTTTTTTTAACTTCTATTCATAGATTCATGTATAATTTTTTTAACTTCTCAAAATAATTTCAAAAGATCATGGTAAGATGTTGACACTAATCATACGCCACAATGACGGTGAGGTAGTCCTAATTTTGGGATATCCTATATATATATATATATGTTGTGTTTTTGTGTGCATACGTGTGATTTACAATTTGTGTGTGTTTGATTTTTCTCTGTTTTCGTGTCTCATGAATCCTGGTTTGTTGTTGCGGATCACTGACACTCATCACTTTGATTGAAGCAAAATAAGCACATATAAAAGGAGGAGGAAGAAGAAAGATTTGGAGTTGGGTTTTAGGTTTTGGTTGCTTTACCAATTTAGTAGCATGATTTGTGATGAAATAAAACTTGTCTATTTGCAGTTGAATTGTCCCCTTGAGATAATTGTGTATGGTTGTGATTTACTTCTATAAATACAATTGAGTCTGTAAAAATGGTGGTTTGTGCCTCCCTACGTGCCAAAGTAATATTTTCCGTCCTCTCTCTCCCTCTTGCATTACTGCAAGGTGGTGTCTATTTTGAGGGATTGAGCCATAAGATTGGACTAGTACTCCCTTGTTTGGTTCAAAATTTATGTACCAGGCTAATAGTATATCCGGACTATTAGTCCCAAATTTATTGGACTATTGTGTTCCATGAGAGGTTGGACACAAATGGGGGATAAGAGGATATGAGATTAGGTGGTGAAATGATCACGTTGACCATCTACTATTTAATTATGTATTATATTTAGTAAAAATTTAATAAAATCTAAATGTCTCAATTTAAAATTAAAACAATTTTATTTAATTTTTATTGGTGTTTTATTTATTTAATTTTTTTAAAATAATTTTTTATAGATATTTTATTGATGTTTTATTTTAAAATTTTGTTTATATTTTATTTAATTTTATATGTTTTATTTAATTATTATTATTTTTTAAAATAATTTTATTTAAAATTTTAATTAAAAAAATAACATATATTTTTATTGATATTTTATTTATTTAATTTAAAAAAAATAAATTTATTTAATTGTGTAAAAATAAAATAAAATATTTTTTTTTTTAATCTAGCTAAATATAATTAAAATATTAAAGATATGTTTAATATTGTTATTAGTTAGTAAATAATTGAAAAGGGTAAAATAGTCATTTGAGTATTAATCATTTTCCATAATATCCCAAACAAACATAAGATTTATATCTTATCCAACCAAATAGTCGTTTCCTAACATCTAAATTCTAATCTCATAATTAAACAAACCTGGGATACAAATCCAGTCTAACCAAATAGTCCGGACACAATATATCTCAGGACTAACAACCCAATGGATTCTAATCTCTCCTTATCTAGTCCGTCCAAACAAACACACCCTAAGTGTATAGAGAGAAAATTTAGCTCAGTTTCCTTCACACTGCTAAGAACTTTTTTCCTCTGTTTTTCCATTTGTTGGGGTTATTTATCGAGTCAAAACTCATAACTTTGTCATAGTTTTTTGGGTTTATTTAGTGATTAAATTTTTTTTTTTCTTTCCCTTAAAGTTTGTATGGCATTGCTCTAATCTTAGCATAAGTGGTGGCAGATCATATTAATTTTTAATTTTTGCAGTGTTTAAGAAAAGTTATTTTTGTCCATGCCTTCTTTGATCTATGTTTGTTTGTTTGTATGGTTCTGTTCCTTCAAATTTTGTGATTCGAATTTGGGATTGTTTTTGAGTGAGGTTGCATGCTATTACAGTGACCAACTCTGGAAAGTGCATAGAATCTTATGTCCGGGGCTGGTTGCCAAAGCCATCAAGCCATCCTCGCATAATCGAATACGCTGCTAACTTCAAAGTGCCACATGACTTTGGATGTCCTGGTGCTATTTACATTACCAATTTTCACAGCAAGGAGTTCCACTTGATGGAGATTGTCGTTCACGGTTTTAACGAAGGCCCTGTATTTTTCCCTGCTGATACATGGATTCATTCACGGAAAGATAATCCCCAAAGCCGTATTATCTTCAAAAATCAGGTAAGAATGGCACAATTTTAATTCTTCAACTGATAATTTTACTTGATGCATATAGGAGTGACCGGATTGACTTGAACAGGCATATTTACCATCACAAACACCACCTGGCATTAAAGATCTTCGACATGAAGACTTGCGCTGTATTCGGGGCAACGGGAAAGGTGAGAGAAAGCTGCATGATAGAATTTACGATTATGCCACTTACAATGATTTGGGTAAACCCGAAAAGTCTGAGGATTTAGCTAGGCCAGTCCTAAGTGGTGAGAAGTGGCCTTATCCCAGGCGCTGTCGAACTGGACGACCTCCAACTAAGAAAGGTATTGGCAATGTTACAGAATGACTTTTTTTTCTTCTCTCTCTCTTTTAGGGTTTCAGCAATCTATTCACTGATCATCTGTGTTGAATGGAATTCAAACAGATCCAAATTCTGAGAGTAGAATTGAAAAGCCCCATCCCGTGTATGTTCCCCGAGATGAAGCTTTTGAGGAGATTAAACAGAACACTTTCACAGCTGGAAGATTGAAAGCTCTGTTACACAATCTGTTACCACTTATTGCTTCTACATTGTCAAGTTCGGATATCCCCTTCAATTGCTTTTCAGATATAGATAAGTTATATAATGACGGTATTGTTTTGAAAGATGATGATCAAAAAGAAGTAAATGAGAAGCAGTTTCTTGGCAAGTTGATGGAACGGGTACTGACTGCGGGGCAAAAGTTGAAGTACGACATACCAGACATAATTAAAAGTATATTCTCTATCTTTCTTTCACATTCAGTGTGTGAGCTCGAGTACCAAATAGAAATAGAGCTTGTTGAGGGTTTTTTCCTATTTGGTTACAGTATGATTTCACACCCATGTTTCAGGCCACTTCTAATTAAAGGATAATTTGAGTTCTAATTTCGGAAACACTTTGCATCTGATTATTTATCGGTTTTGCAGGGGATAGATTTGCATGGCTGCGTGACAATGAGTTTTCACGCCAGGCGTTGGCAGGGGTCAACCCAGTAAACATTGAACTCTTGAGGGTAATGAACGATCCTCTTAGATTTGCAATTTGTTACAGCATGAATTTTTTGTTTCTCAATTGTCCATTGAGAGTCCTTAAGCTTGAGTTTATTTTGCAGGAGTTTCCGATTCTCAGCAAACTAGATCCTGCAGTTTATGGTCCACCGGAGTCTGCAATAACGAAAGATTTGATAGAACAGGAACTGAATGGAATGAGTGTCAAAGAGGTACTAATCTGATACTTCACTAGCTTTATGAATAAGAGCATTTACACTCCGTTGGGAACCCAGAGAGAAAAGAAAAGAAAATATTACTTAGGAAGTTAGGAGAGAAAAGAAAAGAGAAAAGATTGTGTTTGCTACCTTTTGTTTGGACCAATAGGAGAAAAAAGAGAAATGAAGAGAAAAGAGAATGATTTATCTCCTTTCTTGTTTTGTTAAATTACATAATAGAAAAGAAAGAAATTATTTCATATTATATTACCAAAATAACCTTTTATAGTTGTGAGTTTTTTTTTCTATTTCTTCTATATCTAAAGGGGCAGTTTTGGTATCATGAAAAAATAGTAATCTGTTGGTTTATTTTTTATCCCAATATCCCCAAAATGAGGGTTTTAAGAGAATTATTTTCTCTCCATTTCAACCCATTTGTCTCCTTTTTTTACTAATCTGAACATGTGATACGAACTAAAAGAAATGCATTTCTTTTATTTTCTTTCCAAATTACCCAATCGAAACGGGCTATCAGTTTCTTTGTCATTTCTGACCTTGTGTTTCTGGAAACCATTCACACAGGCTATTGAGAACAAGAGGTTGTTTATACTCGACTACCATGACATGCTTTTACCATTTATCGAGAAGATGAACTCCTTGCCGGGGAGAAAAGCTTATGCCTCTAGGACAGTTTTCTTCTACAACCGTGCTGGTTTTTTAAAGCCGATTGCTATAGAGCTTTCACTTCCTCTGACACCTTCTTCATCAATGAACAAGCGCATTTACACTCATGGACATGATGCTACGACTCATTGGATTTGGAAGCTAGCCAAAGCTCATGTTTGTTCCAATGATGCTGGTGTTCATCAACTAGTCAACCACTGGTGAGTTTATAGATTTTAATTGCTACCAAATTTTGGAGGATTTTTAAAGTTTTGAATGGCTATCAAGGCCTTCGATCTTTGACGACTTAAATTTGACAGTTTCTTATACAAAATCATATCGGTTCAACCAGATTTTTGAGATTTTACTTTGGTTTGATAAGATTTGGAAGAAGGCGGTGTGAAACTGAACTTTAGAGTCTCAATGGACCTGTTTGGTTGTGTTTTTGTTTTATTCATTTTCCTTTTCATATTTTTTGATGCAGGAATAATGAAAAGTTCGAAAACATCACCATTTTTGTGTAAAGCACTTCTTGAAAATTTTAAAACAACCTTTTATTGTTTCCTAAAAATTGGGTTGTTTTCAGAAAATTTTCTCACAAACAGTTTGCTAGACAACTTTTCTGTGCTTTTTGAAAAATAAAAACAAAAAACATAGAACGAAAATACATTCTAATGGGCCAGTAAGACTAAAAGAACTCGTTACATTCTAATGTGCTTTTTGAAAAATAAAAACAAAAAACATAGAACGAAAATACATTCTAATGGGCCAGTAAGACTAAAAGAACTCGTTACATTCACCTGCAATTGGCTACATACTTGCCTTTATAATTGTGATGGCTTGGCATTTTCAGGTTGAGGACTCATGCATGCATGGAACCTTACATAATTGCTACTCATAGGCATCTAAGCTCGATGCACCCCATTTACAAGCTGCTCCATCCTCATATGCGCTATACATTAGAAATCAATGCACTTGCGAGGCAGAGTTTGATAAATGGAGGGGGAATAATCGAGGCTTGTTTTAGTCCCGGAAAGTATTCCATGGAAATAAGCTCTGCAGCCTACAAGAGTATGTGGCGATTTGATATGGAGGCACTGCCGGCAGATTTAATCCGGAGGTTAGGTCTATCAAGCATTACATATGAAACCAATTTTTTTTTGATACATTCAAACCTTTCTCACGCTTTAGGCATAGTTTGATGCATTGTCATCTAAGAAACACGGACACTGGCAGGTGACATGACACGGATATGCTAACACAACATGTATGCACAAAACGTATAGCTTTATATATTATTATTTGGCATATGTATAAGGGTAAACAGTTATTTCTATCACAAATATGAATATTGAACTCAAATATAATAATTTTTAAAGTCTAAATGAGAATAATAAGTACAAATTTATGTTGTTTTTATTATTATTGTTGGGTTTTAAGTTATTTTATTCAAACTTGTTATGTGTTTCAAGTGTGTCTAAGCGATAGACACATCACATGTGTTCTCTAAGTGTGAATCGTGTTGAAGTCTAGAAATTTTTAGAAATAGTATGACATGCTCGAACTTGCATATGATAGGTGTCGGAAATTGATTGATGACACGACACAGTACCTTCTTTGAAATGTTCATGCTTCTTAGCTTGTGATACTAAGCATTCTCTTATGTATACAATCGATCTATGCCTTCAAAATGAGTAACAATGTTAAGACTTTGCACTTGTGATGATATTTCAGGGGTATGGCTGTTGAGGATCCTTCAATGCCCCATGGCTTGAAACTTGTGATCGAGGACTACCCTTATGCAGCCGATGGAATCCTCATATGGTCCGCTATAGAAGAATTGGTGAAATCCTATGTTGAACACTTCTATTCTGAGCCCAATTCGATAACATCTGACATTGAACTCCAATCGTGGTGGAACGAGATAAAAAACAAGGGTCACCACGATAAAAGAAACGAGCCTTGGTGGCCTAAACTCAACACGAAAGAGGACTTATCTGGCATCCTAACCACAATGATTTGGATTGCTTCAGGTCAGCACGCTGCAATAAACTTCGGGCAGTACCCCTTTGGAGGGTATGTTCCTAATCGACCAACCCTTATGCGAAAACTCATTCCTTGTGAAGATGATCATGATTTCGAGAAGTTCATTCATAACCCTCAACATACTTTCCTCTCATCTTTGCCGACTCAACTTCAAGCTACTAAAGTAATGGCCGTTCAAGACACTTTGTCAACTCACTCTCCAGATGAGGAGTACTTGGGTCAGATTCACCATCTTCAGAGCCACTGCATCAAGGATCACGAAGTTTTGAAATTGTTTGAGAAATTCGCCAACAGATTAGAGGAGATAGAGAAGGTTATACATGGAAGAAATAAGGATGCTCGGCTTCACAACCGAAGTGGTGCTGGTATTCCTCCATATGAATTGCTTCTTCCCTCATCAGGTCCGGGGGTGACCGGTCGTGGTGTTCCTAACAGCATCTCTATCTGAAAGAAGCCTCTAATTTGTTGTCAACTCTTTTTTTTTTTTGTGTGTTGGAAGCTGTTGTAGATTTTGTTGTTGGCATGGAGTTCTTGAGAGTGATTGTAATGGCTACCATGAGCTCTATAGTCTGAATGAACAAGTTGTATGTAAACAAACATGGATGTTAGTGAATTTGTGAATCATTATGACTAGTAGGTTTGAACTCATTCTCATTCATAAATGCTAGGTTAGCATTTTTCCTTGTGCAGGATACTTTTGTAGTTGGGATGTTTTGGCTTGGAAACATATCATATGACCACTGTTTTTCTTGTGCTATAATTTGGGTTATTTGAAAAGGCCAAGCATAAAGAGACAGTAGAGGGGATCTTACCACATCAAACCCTTTAGAATTTTTTTTTAAACATGCTCTTTCAAAAAATCAACCCTCAACCTCTCCCTCTTCTCTCCTCTTTCAACTCTGACCACTAGCCACCCTCATCGGCAACCACTACAAAACCTTATCCCACCACCCACCTGTCTACTCCATCAGCACCGCCACCACCACTACCGCCCTCCCCAGTCACCTTCCCTATCCCCCGCCCCCATTGCTCACAACCCATTTCCTCCACACTCAACAACCTCTTCCCACAAACCCTTGCCACTGGTGCCACCACAACCCCACTCCCCTCTCGTTGCTGCAAAACATGCTTGGTGAAAGTATAAATTGTGTAGGATTTCTATACTTGTCACGTGAACTATACATGTTTTGCACTTTCATTGAACACATTTCGCAGAAACAGAGGTATGGATGTAGGAGGTCTAAATGAAAGTGTTTGGGAATTGTGGTGGGCGCATTGGATAAGGTTTAATTCTTAAAATTTTTCCATCCTCAAATATTGTTTCAAAACATTTCCAATTATATGATATGACAAGAATCTCAAAATACAACAAAATTTTCAAAACACAAACAATAAGACTTGAAGTTTGAAATAGGGCAACCCATATGCCTAACTTCTACCAATCTCAATAGTTCATATTGTTAGAGCTTCTCCAATACTTCATCTTTTGTTTCATCAAATTTAAAATGTACAAATTAGTGTTTTAATGTTAACACCAAATCAGTATCAAATTGAGAATATCTCAAAAAATTTATCAAATTAAGGATACTGAAACTTTTTACCAAATTACTGTATATAGCCATTAGCTTTACAAGGCTATTAGACAATGCATGAGCATCGGACAACCGGCCAAATTGCCTATTGTTGAATTTGAAAATTTTACACTGGTTACTCAACCAGCTGAACATCTCCTAGTTGTCCTCCTAATCAATCGATGATTTGATAACGTTGGAGATGCTCTTAAAAACTCATATTTAGTACTTCAACACAACAACCAATCATTATCATTTTCATTTAAAAAAAAAATATTGCTGATTCATCTTTCAGCTTAGCACGAAATTCATTTTGATGCCATTACAAATAAGACAAACATATATGACATTTATATATTAAAAATATATTTTTTTGAAAATTATATAAGGAACCGAGTTAGTGACTGAGAGTCGTATCAAAATTAAAAATTAAATATAGAATATTATTATTCAAAATTAAAAATTAAAATAAACATATGGCATATGCATAAAAAATTAAATATATATATATATATAAAAATAAATATAGAATATTATTATTCAAAATTAAAAATTAAACTCAATTTTTAAGTACTATGACAATTAATTAGGATATTGAAAATATATTTTTTCTTATATATTCTTTAATTATTAATCAATCATATCCATTATATACAAAAATGAATCTAAAAAGTTGACTTCTATAATATTTTCCTATGCAACATTCATGTAGCTAGGTAGGTTTGTGATTTGGGTTTCCATTTTGGCCTCATTTGGAAAGTTGATTATTTTAATACGCAAATTCTATTTCAACACACCACATTGTCTCTGTGCACATCCTTTCTCACTCCACTCACTTAGTAATTTAATTCTTATGCATTTATCTCAGTCCACATCCCACATTTCAAATATACCCATTTAATAAAAAATGTGTGTACATCCTCATATTAGCCCACACAAATATTCGTGGTCGTCGTGCTGCACCGGCAATGCCTGCCATGATTGATGACAATCAGATTGAACCTTACAAACTAAACGTTCAGTTCCAGTAATATATTCGTCTAGGTTTTGTATTTCAATTTGTTTCATGCTTGTTTGTTTATGTTTTTGGTGTAAAATTGTATCTGGGTTTGTGAGAGGGAGATTAATGATCTGGAACTGGGCCGGACAGATCTAGGCCAGACAGAGTTTTGCCGGACAGATTTGGGTCGGGCAAGTGTTGGGCCGAGGATGTGTGGCCCAATTTGGAAAGAAGTTGCTCGGTTAAGGCAACGCTTGGTTGGACCGAGCTACATGTTTGACGGAGGTGAAGCCAGTCAAGTTAAGTGACCAGCGCCCGGAAAGACGTGGTCAGCCGAGGTACCTGTTTGCTCGGCTTTGTCGAGATGTTGCCTAGCCCGGTCCTTATTAAGCTTAGCTAGTGGAGTGCTTGGACATGAAGCACAGCACGACCGTTGGCGGACAAGATGGTGCAGCTCGGCTGCCGAGCTCCCAATAGAGTGAGCGGGCAGTTGAGATTAGGTGACGCTCAGCAGGATTTGTGCTGACAGATGGGATAGCAGAGTCACGTGTCGAGGGACCATTGGGAGCAGGTTTGGGACGCAGAAGGGTATATAAGCATGCTTGCGCCCCCCATACGAGGGGGACGAACACTTTGTAAGGAACTCCTACACTCAAACACTCTCTCTCTCCTCTCCCTAACGTGTGTGCTAATTAGATCATTGGAGGGGTTTTTCGGCCACACACTGCCGAGTAGCTCACCCTCATTGGGCTTTCAGGTGATCGGACAGAAACGGAGCTTGGAAGAAAGGAGTACGGGCTTGCTGAAATATTTGCTCCCGTACAATTGGCGCCGTCTGTGGGAATCTTGCAGATAAAACCTTGTCTTTCACGCTCGTCTGACCGCCGACCATGGCGAACAACGAAGAGTTTCCGTTGTCTGCCATAAACGGAGCAACCCTGGAGTTTACCCAACGGAGAGAAGGACCTCCCGCCATCCATCCAATGGCGGACTTGGAGACACCCACCGGAGGACAGTCAAGAGACACGCGGGATAAGCGCGGGAGAAGTTATGGTCATTCACGAAGTCTGGACGGTCATCGGTGGCGGAGAGAATTACATACCCGACGTCTGGAACACAAGTTGAGGGACCAAGACGCTGTCATCCGGCGAATGGCGGCGGAGATGGAGGAGCTCAAGCGGCATGTCAAAGGGAATGGTGTAGCTGGAGTGGGTGACCACAGTGAGCGCACCACATCCCGCCGTTCAGGCGGTCAGAGTCAGCGACGCACTCCATCCATTTTTATTACCAGAAGTTATCAGGTTGGTGATTCCGACGTGCATGCAGAGAAGTCTGGCGCGCAAGATAGCACTTACCGGCCCTCACGTCTAGCGGCAACGTCGAAGTACTCTCACTCCGCTCATTCAGAGGATTTGCGGGCGGTCTTAACGGAGCGGGCTCGCCGACGTGAAGCTCAGAGGATACCGGCGTTCCAGCGGCTATCCTACGGGGTTCACGCTAGCGAGGAGGTCGGAATGCCTCCACCCCGCCAAGCAGCGCCGCTCCCAGTGGATTCAGATTTGGCCAGGCTAAGTGCCACCCCTTTTGCCCAGGAAATAGAAACAACACTGCTTCCGGCAGGCTTCCACCAGCCAAAGTTCATGTTTTACGACGGGAAAACCAATCCTTACATGCATGTGAGCCACTTCCGACAGGTTATGGCCGGACATAGGCGAAATGACGGACTTATGTGCCTCATCTTTCCGTCAAGTTTAGGCGAATTGGGCTTGAAGTGGTTTGAAAGGCTGCCGGAAGGGAGTATTGAGAGGTGGCATCAGTTGGCCGAAGCCTTCGTGACGCGCTTCAAAACCAACACAAAAACACCAAAGGAAGTCGATCATTTACTGAGTGTCAAGATGGAACCGAGCGACACATTGAAGGCATACAAAGGTATTGGGAGACCTTCAACGAGATCTTAGATTGCTCGGTCAACCTTGCAATCACTCAATACAAGCGTGGTCTCCCGGTCGGATATAGACTGCAGGACTCGCTTACCATGCACCAACCAACCTCCATGGGCCAGCTCATGCAGCGCATCAATGAGCACATCCGAGTCGAGGATGATGCATCAGCATCTACCGTGAAGGCAACACCGGTAGCAACAGACAAGAAGATAGCAGGTAAAGTGCACGTAGTTGGGCAAGAGTCCAGCCGCTCAGGTGACCGAGCAGAGGAATCGGACCGTGGCTCGAATCGCAAAAACCGGGGGAGAGGATGTCGGAATGACCGGGATGACTACCCCCGAGATGACGTAGCGGAGGCAAACAGAAGGTTGAAGGCAAGGACTGGCATAACCACGGTCTTCAAGATTCCGATCTATCGCATCCTTAGTGAAATCCGAGACGAGGAGTATGTCCGGTTTCCTGCTAAGTTGGGCGATGGACAAAAAGGCTACAATCCGTGGTATCGTTGCACGTTTCATCGGGAGCGAGGCCACCGGACAGAGGATTGTTTGCCATTAAAGCAACACTTGGAAGAGTAAGTCGCGGCCGGGCACCTGGATCTTTACATTGATGAGGGCGTTAAGGCAAATCAAGTTCCGGTTGATCCGCGAGGATCGGATGACCGAGATGCACCTCCTCAAGGGATTGTGAATGTCATCCACCGTATAGTGGAACCGGCGCGTGTTTGCGAGCTCCGTGGTATGATCAAGAAGGCAGAGCACATGAGGGAAGTTTTGTCAGTTCAGCCTGCGCTCAAGAGGGGGAAGACGGAAGTGAAAGAGGTGATCAGTTTCTCCTCCAGGGACTTGGAGCGCATTCAGACACCGCACAATGACGCCTTAGTAGTAACACTCCGCGTCAAAGATTTTGAAGTGAAACGGATCTTGATCGATCAGGGAAGCTCGGTTGAGATCATGTACTACGACGCTTTCCAACAGCTCAAGCTCCGAGATACGGATTTGGCCCCGGCGACATCGCAGTTGGTTGGTTTCAACTCACAACCGGAGTAGCCTTTGGGAAAGATTATCCTGCCGATCAAAGCTGGGTCCGTGGTCAAACAGGTGGAGTTCTGGGTATTACAGGTACCATCTACTT